GCTTGCCGAACGCCTCTCCTCCCACTTCAAGGGTGATGAGGGGGTTAAAGCCACCAGGCCCGTGCGCAGAGGCGAGTTGCGCGTCAAAGGCCTGGTGCACCCCCTCACTGCGGACGAGGTCCGGCGCGCTCTGGCCGTGGCGGGAGCGTGTGACGGCGCGGAGGTGAGGACTGGAGAGATTCGGTTCTCACCTTCCGGGGCTGGCACCCTCTGGGCCAGTATGCCTTTGCGGGCGGCCCGGAGAGTGGCGAANGCGAGGAAGGTACGGGTGGGGTGGCTGTCGCTGCCCGTGGAGGCACTTAAAGCTCGCCCCACCCAATGCTACCGATGTTTGGCCTTCGGCCACATCGGCAGCAGATGTGGTAGTGGGACGGTTCGCTCCAACCTGTGCTTCAGGTGTGGAGAGCCGTCCCACAAGGCTGTGGATTGCCGGGCCCCTCTGTCTTGTCCGGCGTGCAAGGCTGAGGGGCGAACGGCCAATCACCGGATGGGCGGTCGAGGCTGCTCCCTCCCATCCGGCAGAGTAGCTGGGGGGAAACCGGCGGATCTCCCCCCTCGTGTAGAAGAAGGGGCCTCTTNGGAGGCGCGGGACTCGCCCTCTAGGGGTCGCCCCCTGGAGGACTCAGCCCGCATAGAAGTGGAGCCACTTACCTCCAAGGAGGTAGTGGCTCCCCTTACCGGGGAGGGCCGCTCTGTAGCCTCTTCCAAGAGGAAGAGNAAGAAACAGAGCGGCACAACTGTTNCCTCGTCGCCTTCGGCGGCGGAAGAGAGACCGCTGCCCAAGCGTGCTGCCCAGCGCATGCGCTTGAGTAAGGGCAGCGGCCACCAGCAGGACGGTGCTGNGGAGGGCTCTGAGAGCCCTCGAAAAGCCCTCTCCTCCTCATCAGACTCCTCCCTTGGTCCCCGCATCTCCGGTCGCAACTGGGGTGCGGAGCTGGAGGAGTACATGAGGAGTGAGAACATGCTGTGAAGCATGTTGGTGCGGGGCTAGGAGGGGAGGGAGGTGCCCCCTCCTGGAAGCGAGGAGGCTCCTCCATCTTTTGCGCTGCGGGCGTTCCCCGCAGAGATGGAGGAGTCCTCCAGTAACGTAAAGGTGCGGTGGCTTGCCACCGCAAAACTGTGCGCAGAGCGTCCTCCCCCTAACAGGGGAGTTTGACGCAGGGCCACACGAGGGGTTCTGGCGGGGGCCAGAATCCCTCATTGCACGTGGTCCAGCAGGCACGACGGGAGGGAGCGAAGCCCTCTCTCTCGTCGTGCAGAGGAGCAGCAGCTCCGTTGCGGTGAGGGCGGTTCAGNCTCTCTCCGTTCTGCCAAACCCAACGAATATCATTAAGAAATATACGACATGCTGGATCTAGGTATATATGTCTATGGCGCACACCATGTATACTTCCACCATGGTATTACATATATGGATTATATATATGGTTAAAGGGAAACAGTCATGAAACACCGAATTTCATGATTGGTCACTGCATTGAAATTTGAGGTTGGAGATTCGAGACTTGAGAGCTGAAATTTGAGATTGGAGACGAGATCTAAGACTTGTTCTACAATACAGTCGTAAGTCGTAAGTCGTAAGAAATTGACCAATCACAATCGATTATTCTTCTGTAATTGGTCTGTTATTGGTCAATTTCTTACGACTTACGACTTACGACTGTATTGTAGAACAGGCCTAAGATTTGAGAAGCGACTATGAATTCGGGCCTCAGGCTTCTCTCTGCTATGGCTGCTTTCCTTTTAGGAGACACAGTCGACACAAGTCGACACAAGAGTCATTCTGTCTTTGTTCAGTATTCAGTGAGAAACAAAGACAGAATGACTTTTGTGTCGACTGTGTCTTCTAAAAGGAAAGCAGCCTATAACAGAAACACTTAAGCCTCTTGCACAATGGAAAGAATAGCGATAGCGATAGAAATAACACAGTTTTTAACACAGAATTCCAACTCGTCGGAAATTTTATCGCTATTACTAATTCCGATTTTCTGATCTGCATTGATACATGTGTATTTTTGTATGTTAGATTCCGCTGTTCCTACCTTTATTTTTAAATATAATCTCTTTAAAACTTTTGTTATTTCTATCGCTATCGCTATTCCGTCCATTATGCAAGAGGCTTTATGGGCATGGCCACTCTCATTCTTCTCTCTGTTGTAACAAACGGTTCTGGTGACATCGAAACTTTTAAGATGCTTCAAGACAAAAGTGTTAACGTTAATGCTAAAGTTAAATGTAGCACAACTTCGCTTCATGATGCGACTCAACATGGGGAAGTGGAAATTATTGAATTACTTTTAAATCATGGAGCTAACATTAACGCCAGTACCCATACGATACAGTACCCAAACGGTATAACTCCTTTTTATATTGCAGCTAAAAACGAATATTTATAGATTGTTGAACAGCTTTTAAAACATGGAGCTTATATATATATATTAGTTCTACATATATCTTTTTCTTTTCACCAGATGATGCAACTCTGTGTTTTGCTGTTTACGAAGGACATGTAGATTTTGTTAAGCTGCTTCTGGACAGAGGTGCTAACGTTAACGCCAGTGATAAAGACGCGCGCGCGCGCGCGCGGCGCGGGTATAACTTCTCTTCTAATTGCAGCTAAAAAAAAGAATACTTACAAATTGTTGAACATCTTTTAAGACATAAAGCTTATTATGTTAGTTTTACATATATCTCTTTCTTTACACCAGGTGTTACACCACTGGGTTTTGCTGTTAAAAAAGGACATGTTGATATTGTTAAGCTGCTTCTGGACAGAGGTGCTAATGTTAACGCCAGTAATAATGGTGTGTGTGTGTGTGTGTGTGTGTGTGTGTGTGTGTGTGTGTGTGTGTGGGTGTGTGTGTGGGTGTGTGTGTGTGTGTGTGTGTAACTCCTCTTCTAATTGCGATTGTAACTGGAAAAATGGAAATTACTGAATTACTTTTAAATCACGGAGCTAACTTTAATGACACAGCAGGTATAACTCTATATTGCAGCTGAAAAATAATATTTACAGATTGTCAAATATCCTGAAAAAACATGTAGTTTATGTGTTAATTCTACATATATCTTTTTCTTTTTACCAGATGATACACCACTGGGAGCTGCTGTTTACGGAGGACATGTAGATATTGTTAAGCTGCTTCTGGACAGAGGTGCTAACGTTAATGTCAGTGATAATGACGCGCGCGCGCGCGCGGGTATAACTTCTCTTTTAATTGCAGCTAAAAAAAGAATACTTATATACAAATTGTTGAACATCTTTTAAGACATAAAGCTTATTATGTTAGTTCTACATATATCTCTTTCTTTACACCAGGTGTTACACCACTGTGTGTTGCTGTTCAAAAAGGACATGTTGATATTGTTAAGCTGCTTCTGGACAGAGGTGCTAATGCCCAGATAGCCAAATGATAGCAGTATGCCAGCAATTAGCCACGCAGTTCTAATCAGCACTTTGCAGCAGATTCCACTCAGCTGTGTCCCTAATATGAGTGAAATATGTAGTGACGATATGCAAAAAAAGAAACATAACCAAAATGCAGGAATAAATGAAGAAAAGTTTATCGTCACGACATAAAAGATATTGTAGAGCTGATATCAATTAGGAACTGCTAGTACAGTTACTGACAGCAGATTTACTACAAAAATGCAGCATGTTCTGCCGTTGTATTATAATGCAAAAAATAAAGCTGATTTTGAACAGAATTCGTAATGTCAGCTATTTACAACGAATTTAAAGCAAAAATTGATTATGATCTGCTTTCACAGCATGCCGATCAAAATATAACGGATATTAAACACAGCCTGCAATTCAAACAGTAATTAAAAAAATACAGCAAAAATCTGTTACGATCTGATATCAGTTCGTGACGGCAGAAATGGNACATAGGATGTCGTAGACATATTTTATAAATCCTAATAAATAATAAATTTTTAATTTTACTTTATTTCAATTTTATAGTAATATACAATACATTTGTTATTAACACCAATATTATTAACATAAAAATAATTCCATTATTATATTACATTATATACTTATTTTTATATAAAAT